GACAAGCTCCCTAATTTTCAGCTTAATAATGCTCATTCGCCAACTTTTTCTTTCAAAAATAACTGACGTGCTGCTATGGCTAGCATGACAGAAGAGGCACAACAGAGGAAAATGGTAACATGTAATAAGGATGCTTCATTTTGAGAGCTGCTGTGAGTTCATGAATGTCGTGGAGCGAAGTTTTAAATTATGAACGATTGGACAGTTATAAAAATACGGAACAAATCACGTCAGGTATCGGTTCAATACATGAAAATGCCAAATAAAGGACCATTCCGCATCCCTGTTTGACTACATTTGTTCATAAGAAATTATATGTCAACATTTTAACATGTTTAAATTACATTTTAACATGTTTAAATTACATGTTAAACATGTTTTTATCAATTTTCTTTTTCTGTTCAGCAACCTAAGAGGTTCCTGTTTTGTTAAATTTCATGTCTAAGTTTAGTAATAACAAAAAAAATGTAATACATACCAAATAATGTTAAAATCAAATGTTTTTTTCTTTTTATATTTAGCATGTTATGAAAAATGTGTATATTATGGAAAAACAGTTGACCCTTCATCTACTAATTGTTAGTTGATCGATGAGGTCCATCAAGTTTATATTTGAAAAGTCCCACAGAATGAAACTGGAAATATTCTCTTTCTGCATCACTCTGCAAACATGAACCCCCAGACCTGAACACTGTCCTGCACTGTGGTCGAGACGCTACTTATCCCAAACTTTCCATCCAGTTTGTGTCTCTGAATGCATCCATTCATCCAGTGTTTGCATCAACCTGCCAAACGTCAAACCTCATCCTGCCTCATCACAGATGTCTAATTTCACTTTTATTCAGTTTAATTAATCCCGTTTCTCTGTGTGTGTGTCCTTAAAGAAGTGCTTACCTTCCTGATCCAGTGGACCCTGTGTGTTCGTCTCCCCCCCAGAGCTCTGTCCGTCCAGCCGGGACGTCCAGCCGTCGCCTCTCCTCAGCACAGCGCTCTCCTTGTTCTGGCCCCCTCCCTTCTCCAGCTCACACTAAATCTTTATTCCAGCTTGCTCGCTTAATTCAGGAGATCCCACATCCAAAAATACAGCTGGCAGCTCAGACCGCCACCCTCCTCCTTGCCTGGGGGCCGGCCTCCTCCGCCTATCCTCCTCCCTCTAGCTCCTGGTCCCGTTCCGGAGCATGGAGACCCTCCAACCCACCAACCCTCCAAGCCGGGATTGATCCGAGACTTTCAGCCTGCAGATGATGCCGCTGCAGCTTTTGGGTTGCAGTTACTCTCCATCCCGACTCCTGATCCCAACTGCCGACCCTGAAGGATGAAGATGAAGTCGGAGGGTCAAAGAATCAGGTTTTCCTCTCTCCTCTCTGCAGAATCAGCTTCTGTCTGCAGGCTGAATCTTTGTCACTTCGTTCCTCCAGCCCCCCAACCTGCTCACTCTTTCTCTGCAATGCAGCCTCCAGCTTCCACCCCTCTCTGGCTGACTCAAAGCATCCCTTTATGGCTTTATTTGTCTTCCCTCCACCTTCTCCTCCGTTCCTCCCCGCTGACGTCCTGCAGGTCGGATAAACCGCTGCGGCTCTGGGAATCAATACTATCCACGCGACTTAATTACATTTCATTCAGGTCAAGTAGCAGGACTGCAGATAAACAGATAAGGTCATTTTAATACTAAGGTTCCTCACATCAGGATTTAACCACATTAAACACTGCAAACACAAAGTTTCACCAAGTATTTTTGATCTAGTTTCTAGTGTGAATATTTTATTACACGTCAAATATGACAAATCTAACTTACAAGTGACTTTCAGTAAAACATGGGAACTTGTTTTAGATTAATAATTTATTAATATTAGGGCTGAAACAATAAATCAGACTGTGATTAAACAATTATATCAGTATATTTAAACTTAAGCGATTAAGTCATTATTTTGATATAAATTTGATTAATAATTAATCATGATTAATTGGAAGATTGTGATTAATCTCTTATTTCAATATATTTGAATTTGATCAATTAACAACCAATTAATCATGATTAAGTAGTTTAATTGTGACTGATTATTTTCATACAAATCTGTTAATAGATCAATCATGATAACTAATTAAAATACAAAATTAGTTGATGATTTGAATAATCAATTCAAATAATCACCATTAAGAGTGATTAATCAGTTATTTCAATACAATCAAACTTAATTAATTGATTTAATCACAGTCTATTGTTTCAATATAATTCAATTTAATCACTAATACTAGATTAATCATGATTAATCATACTGATCGATTATTGAAATAGTTGTCAACTAATTTGGTAATTGATTGTTAATTGGCACAAACTCAAAAAAGACGATTTACTGGAAAAACAAAACATTCAGAGCAGTAACTGTACCAAAACTCGACAAAAAATATACATTTTGCGTTTAATTAAATTTGGCAATTTTTTTTTATCTAACTGATTAATAGTTTTTAAATATTAACGGGCAGATTATTTCACTTATAATATGAGAAAATCTCATGTTATGAGTAAAATAATCTGGAACTAGTAATTATTTTCACCAGTATTAAGGAATTGTTGACATAAAACAAACTCATATCTTGCTGAAAAGTTACTCATAAGTTAGTTTTGGTGTATTTTAAACATACTAAGAAACATAGGAATATGTGTGCGAAGGGAACTGGACTAAAAATACTTTTGTGTTTCTGTAGCATTCATGTACTAATAAGTCTTTTGCCATAAGTTGGTGGTTTTTTATCAATGGGAAGCATATTGGCATCTTAATGCATCGTCAAAACCCTGCAAACACCATCAGTGTTTCAGCTTATTAGTCAAACCAGTGAGCTGAAACTGAGGAGATTTTGGAGACTCTTTCAGTGTAAAACTCTCAACCTTTTCTCCTTTTATAGACTAAAAACTGCAGAGCCAAAATATCTGCATGTTGCCTCATTCTGAAAACATCTGCAGACTTTAGATAAGTTTGTTCACAGAGCTATTCCTGGTCTAGTTTCTGCTGTATCTCTTAATACACTTGAAATAAGACAACACTGACTTACAGGTAACTTTTCAGCAAGATATGACTTTGTTTCAAATAATTCCTTAATATGGATGAAACGTACTGGTTCCCTTGGCAGATTATTTGACTTACAACACGGGAAAATTAACAGTCAATCAAAACTGCCAATGGAACTGATACAGTTTCATCAATCCTAAGGAATTATCATATCTGTTGCTGAAAAGTTACTTGTAACTAGTAAATAACTTTTCAGCAAGAAAAGTTACTTATTTGCACTAGAAAATAAAGCAGGAATAATTGATGAGATGTTGTGTTTTTGTAAGTAAGTGCTTAGAGTAAGTAAAAACCGTTCTCAAGTCAGAGTAGCACTACTTCAAGCTATTTTTACTAAAGGTAAAAAGTAGCTGTCCCAAGAAATTACTGAAGTAAAAAAAGGATTTGACAAAAAGTCTATGCAAGTTCAGAGTAACAGATCAGATATTTAAATATTACATCATAAGACAGGCCAAAATATAACGTGGAAAGTTTTGTACTTTAAGAATGAAAATGACAATAATTTATATAAGAAACAAAAAATAACAAAATTAAATAGAGAATATAAAAGAAAAATGTTGAAATCAGTTTCTTTCAGTATGAAATAGGAACCGTGTGTCTGTCTGGTGGGTTTTTGGTTAAAATCCAGATATTTCACTCCAGTAAGAGTAGAAACACTTCATGATAAAAATTATTCAAGTAAACGAAAATGTATATTTTTTTCAAAAAGCTTACTCAAGTAAATGTAACTGAGTAAATGCAACTAGATGCTACCAGCTCTGCAGACGGAAGGATATTAAACATTTGAAGCGACTCTGCGTGACGTTTCTCTGGTGAAACATCAGAGTCTCGCCGTGGGGGAAGATCTCAGACTGCAAACAACTCAGACTGTTGCATATTCATATAGAGACAGACCAGGGGGTCAACCCTTAAAGCCCGTTAGCCTTTTGCTAAACAAACGACAACAAAAGAAGGAATTCCTCTCCGTCAGGCTCCAGACCACACATAGGCTGGTTGACACAAAGCAGCGCCGCCTTTGTTGGATATTTCTACCCAGATCTTCTCGCCATGAAGTCCAGACTTCATTGGGCTTCTAAACATCTAGTAGGAGAAAAATAAAGACACCTTTGAGTGCGAGTCTCATTCAGGCTCTTCCCGATTCATGGCATACAATCCTGACCCAGTCTTTGTTTCTTTAGATTTTCTTTAAGATTCAGACTGTTCTGCAGTCGTTACTTTTTCTTGTTAAAATTTATAAAATCTTGGAAAAGTTGTTCAACGGAAGACTGCAATTTCAAAATTGAATCTTTTTCAATTATCAAAATTATACAGAAAGGCTGAAACTTACCCACAGACCTCTGATATTTGCTTAAACGCCCCTCAGTAAACAAACCACTAACTTTTATACTTAAATCTGTTTGCAGCATTTTGTTTGAAAAGTTGACCCAGAAAACGTTTGCAGTTTTGTCCTATTTTCTAGCAACTCTTCTGCAAGATACTAGAGCTTTTTTTCAGGTCTTTAATTAATTAATATTGACTTTAAAACCTACTTGTTGCACTGGTAGATTTTTTTTTTACTCATCACATTTCCCCCATGTTATAAGTGAAATAATCTGCCAGTGAAACAAGCACTTTTTAAAATCAAAATTAAGGAATTAATGACTTCAAACAAGCTCTCTTGTACGTCTTGCTGAAAAGCTACTTATATTAGTTTGATCTTAATTCAAGTAAACTAAGATCTTTGTGCAAGAAAACCGGTGATAAAAAAAATCTCATTTTCCAAACACTGTAAAGTCAAAAATCACCTTGATGAAAACAATGCTGATTGTATTTATTTAGAAAAACAATGTCAAAACTAAATTGGCCTGATGTGAAAATATGTTAACTGGGATTAACCAAGTTATGTTTTAATTGTCAAGTTTAAAAAGTAAAATATTAAGGAGAAAAAGACACCAGTTGAAGACAAATGGACACAAGTGTCCTTTATTGTCAGAGGGAAACCCGACTCATTCCAGCTTCTACGGCAGGACGACGATCTTCTTCTCCAGCTTCTGCTCTGGGAAGACGAACCTCCTCATCACGTGGTCCAGCTCCTCCAGAGCCAGCTGCGCGTGCAGAACGGCCGCCTGGTCCGGGTCCGAGCCGACCACCAGCTTCAGGGCCCGGTACAGGTCCAGGAGGACGTCGCCGAGGACCTGCAGGAGGCAAACGGAGCAGCCACACAAACCACATGTCAGGGCTAAAGACGCTTCCTGAATTTCATTTGAACCACATTTATTAACACAAAACCTGTTTGGTCATGAAGGGACTGGATAGAAAACAGCAAATCAGTCAAAATTTACTGTTAATCTGTTTCACAAATATAACAAACTTGTGGTTCAACAGAGCATTAAACAGTTTTACAAAATAAAATGGAGTATTAGAGCCATACTAAGAAAAACAAACAAAACTTAAAATTAATAAAGCTACAAGAATAAAGTCAATAATACCAGAATAAAATTAATGAGAAAAAGTTGAAATAATCTGGGAATAAAGTCATCATGACTTTATTCTTGTAATATTTATTTTTTGGAAATTTTATGACTTCTTATATTATTCCGGCTTTATTCTCACAATACTGACTTATCTTTATCTCCACTTTATTCTCGTATTATGACTTTATTTTTGAAATATTCTAACTATTATGACGTTTTATTTGATGTAGAGACATCATATGGCTGCAAAAAAAGCCTTTCCATTGCAGTTACACCAATTTCAATACAATTTTAAATAAGAAAAAAAGTTTTTCCCCCCAAATCAACATGTTTGTATGTAGCAAATCTATTTTTATAATTCTAATTTATGCGACTTTACAGCCAATGAGAAATGGAGCTGGTATTGTTTCACCTCTATCAATTTTTGTCCATCCGTCCATCTTTGCTCTCACTTCTAAACCATCACTCTATCCTGCCCTACTTTGACCTTTGCCCTATTTTTTTAACTTTTCCCACATCCCTGTGTTGTTACAATCCAGCTGGTTCTGCAGTGATGACAGGACTTGGACCAGAACCGACAGCTGGAAGACAGCAGGAGCCACAGCACACCTGAGCAGTGAAATAATTTCAGCCTCCATATTCAAGAAGACGAGTCACTCGTTGCTATTTAAACTGAAACTTTAAAAACTTTTAGTGATACTGAAACAATTCTTGACCCATGAACATCAGAACCTTCAGGTGACCAAACATGCACATTTTTATGAGTCTGCAGGTTTTTTTTAAAGAGACCCTTTAATTTCAGTTCAGCAGGAAAACAGTCAATATAATGGAAGTGAATGAGAGATAACTTGTGAGCTCTCAGCACTCTGGGTTGATTTAACAGAAAACTGTACGTCCTGCACCACCGACAGACACATTGGTGAAAGTAGAGACAAATACCTACGTTTTGATATATTAACTGTGCATGTGGAAATAAAAGTGTGGGAATGAAATTAGTTAAAATAAAAAAAATCTGAATATTTTTCAATAATCTGAACATCCTGTGAGAAAAATCTGGATATAAATCCATCAAACTTAAACTGTTATTGTGTGAAAACTGTAAAATGAATTAAAACCATAAATCAGTCAAATAAAGACCAAATTTCCATCAGCTGTTTAAACTTTGAACGAGGATTTTAATGGAAAGGATGGCAGCGATACGGAGCTTTAGTGCTTTTACTTCTTTAACCAAAATCCCGTCAATTTCATCTTATTTTGTAAACATGTTAAAAAATATCACCACCAATATGGAGAGCCAAAAGGGACAAAATAAAAAGCTGCATCATTAAATTATTAATTAAATGTGCCATGAAATAAGTGTTTAATTTAAATATTTAGATAATTTTTAATAGACTATATAGTGCATTTGTAAATCAATGAAACAAAACTTAGAATAACTGAAGCAGAATAATAATTAATGCATATTTAATTGCTTCATCTTTCCTGCTCCTTGAAATAATTTTATCTATAAAACTGATCTGTTGAGCTCCACCAGTTTAAATTATTTAAACATATATTTATTTCATTGTACATTTATTTAATAATCTAATTTCTTGTTTAATTTTTCCACTTTTGGCACTCTGTACACCAACATCGCTGCACATTTTAACTATTTGCATGTTCTTTTTTCCAATGATAAAAAAAGAATTTAAAAACTTTAAATTTGTAATTGCAGCAACAAAGTTTTGGAAGTAAATCTAAGATTAGATGTTAATTTGAGCAAATTGACAGAAAGAGTTGAAAGTTTCTCAAAGTTTGAAGTGAGTTTTTTTTTTTTTTTTGAACCTACTGACCTAAAAGCGCCAGAGATGCAGGAAACAAGAAGAGGTCACGCTCAGGTTTCTGACCCCCAGGCAGGAAACAAAAATAAAGGAAAACACAAACACACCTGAGAGACCACCAGGTGGAAAATTACAAGCTGCATAAACATCCGTTATGTTGAGGAGCTGCTTTGTAAATCTGGCAAGCAGAACAAACAGCGAGCGACTCAGTTTCACCTGCAGGTCAGGAGGTTTCCTCCAAATATGAAGCCCCACATCAGGACAGAAAGTTTCAATTTTAGATGATAAATCAACACAAAGCAGCTTAAAATCATGAAGCAGGAAGAAAACAACAGGTTTTTACAAATAAAAACCCAGAAAGTGTTGCATGTTTACCTTCCTGAGTCAATATCCTGCAGAACCAGATTTTAATGCAGCTTATTTCACTTCAGGTGAACTTAAAAGTTTAATAATCTAATGTTATCTACATGTTTTTAATTGTTTTGCATATATTTCTGATACATTTCTTGCACAAATTGCAAAAATATGCATTTATATTTATACAGTTTTCCTTTTTTTAATCTTATTCCATATTATTTATTTGACTTTTTCTATTATTCTATGGTTTCTATTTGTGACCTAATTTGTTCTCTAGTGCATCTCTGATGTTAAAGATAATCTGGGTTCAGTGCGAAACCTCACAATCTTAAAGAATCATTGTCTAATTTTTAGTGCAAAGATATTCACACTGGAAACTAGACACAGATACTTGGTAATATTTAGTGTTTTTGCCGGGTGACGCGGCGTGTTGCGCTGCAGAGTTTGTCACCTGGGTGGTTTTATCGCTGAGGCCTCTGAGCAGCTGAGCGACGACGTGGACGGCGGCTCTCCTCACCTCGGCCTCCCGCTCCGTTTTAATCAGCGCAGTCAGACACGAGCTCAGCTGCACGGAAGAAAGAAAGAAGCAAAAACACATTACCACTAAATATTCACAGCAGGAAGAGGCAGGAAACCATCAGGAATCAGTAGAAATGAAAGTTAAACCTGTGAAAACAAAGAATTTACAACAAATTCTGAATTCGGGGTGTCCAATGTGTGGCCCCAGGTCTGACTTTGTTTAAAAATGACATCGTTTCATAAAGAAAAAAAAAAAAACCCAACAGCTCCAGTTGATACGACAGATTAAAAAAAAAACACTTTGTACTTTGCGTCAAATGTTTGCAACATTTTTCTAAATTTTAACGACATTAAAGGGAAGCATCTCTTTAACCACTGTTGTCCAAATGGGAATTATTGAGCTGATTTTAATTCATCATGTAATTCATCATCTGTAATAGCAGTAGAGCTTTACAGTCTGACAATATTTTACTCCCTTTATGGCACTTACATTTTTAAGAAGTACTTGTACACAGTAGTATTTGTTTTGGTGTTTGGTGAACTGAAACTACTCTTGAGTGTTTGATATCTGTAAAAAAACAAAAAAATAAATCAAACAAACCGAGTAAAAGCTGTAAAAAGTATCAGACTATGAACTTCCGTTGTCAGTGTGAAAAAGATCACAGGTTTGTGAATAAGAGTCCTTCCTGTTCATCTGACACTGAAGCTCATTCAGCGAACGCGGCTGAATGAGCCGCAGATCTCAGCAGAGCCAGTCGAGCCTCACAGTTTGTGTTTGAAAACTATTTTTATATCGCAATAACATTTAATCTGCAGCAGATTTTTCCTCAGAGGGACACAACCTTTACTCAGTGTTTCCAAAAGTTGGGGTGAGGACCCCACTTTGGTCACAACTCAACATTTTTGGGGTCTTGAGCAGAAAAATCTGCACTGCAAAAAATCTTTTAAAAAAAATCCCAGTAAGTTATTCTTTCACTTCACTGCAGAAACACAAAAGCTTACCAAGTATTTTTGTCTGGTCCAGATAACTTATTACACTTGAAATAAGACAAGACTATCTTACAAGTAACTTTCAGCAAGACATCAGTGATTGTTTTAAATAAATAATTACTTAATATTGACTTAACAGGGTTGGCAGATAAATCCACTTATAATAAGACATTTTTTCCATGTTATAAATTAAATAACGGAAATAGTATTTTTTTCACCAATAAAGGAATTATTGACACAAAACGAGTTACTTCTAGAAACTAAATATACTTGGTAAGATTTTGTTTTTTGCCTTTTAAATAATATTTTTTGTATTTTTGTAACTTTTCAGTCCCTTGTGAACAACAAATGTTTTAGTTGATTTATACTTTGACATGTATAGCAGAGTTTTAGTCAGACTAAGCTGCAAATATTCTATAGAACAAATACAGATAATAAAACAGATTTTTATGAGAACATTGGAAAAGCATGATTGAGATGTGAAATATATAAATTTCCAGCGGCGTTCTCACTTCGTGTGCCAGCGGTCCCAGAGAGTAGTCCAGTCTCTGGCAGAGCTCCCCCAGGTTGGACAGGCTGCTGGCCCGGACGGTGTGGTCCGGATCTCTGGTTCCCTGCAGGAAGACGCCCAGCAGGGGGCGGCCCAGGTGCGGCGCCAGTTCCCCTGGAGGAAGAACATGCAGCGTCGGGCGAGACTTTTTCAAACCAGATCCCATAAAAAAAACACTTCAAATGTTGAATCCAGTTTGGTATTTTTGTTTTCTTTCTGTTGAGTTTTTTTATACGTTGTCGTGATTTATGAAGACATAATTTAGTTTAGTTTGATGAATATGACAGTACAAACTACCTGTGTGTTTTGAGTCACGTCGTTTAAATTGTTGCTGTGTTTTGAAGTAGGGCTGAACAATAAGGCTGAAAAACGTATCATGACAAAAGCATTTCATATGAGTAAATATCAAAAATTGAGAAGTTTGTTATAAATATGTGAAATGCAGCCAAATTGGTGCTGTGACATTATGTGTTTTATCCACAGTTTTCACTTCATGCTGCTGTTTTTTACATTTAAGCAGTTATGAAGAATAGAAGCGAAACTTTAAACTGCTGCTGCGCACGTTTGTTGCTAGGTAACCAAAGGAAGAGTGAGTTGCTAGGTAACCAAAGGAAGAGTGAGTTGCTAGGTAACCAAAGGAAGAGTGAGTTGCTAGGTAACCAAAGACTGAGTGAATTTTTTGCACAGCCAGACCTGGGCTGACCCAGGATGCTCTTGGGCTGACCCAGGATGCTCTTGGGCTGACCCAGGATGCTCTTGGGCTGACCCAGGATGCTCTTGGGCTGACCCAGGATGCTCTTGGGCTGACCCAGGATGCTCTTGGGCTGACCCAGGATGCTCTTGGGCTGACCCAGGATGCTCTTGGGCTGACCCAGGATGCTCTTGGGCTGACCCAGGATGCTCTGGCTGAAAAGCAGGCCTGATGGTTTTTGCATTAGCACTTCCAGCCCGGTACCACCTGGATCCCTTGACCCCTGAGAGCTGCGGCTCCAATCGGGCTAGCCAAACCGGGTTGGAGTTAGCTGTTGATTGGTTCATTGGCTGTGGAGGCGGGATAAAGACCAGATTTCTGGGTCAGAGGAGCTCTATACTATCTCGATGGCTGTCATTTCAATATATTGCATCATTTCAATATATTGTTCTCTAAAAAGGGGGAGAACAATGCAAATATTTAGGAAGTAAACAGATAATCAGTGAAGAATCCAAGTATTAAAAAAAAGACAAAAAAAAACATACAGGCTTCAAATAAAGTGATCAAATCTTTAAAATGGCTTTTAACATTATGATGTTTTGAACCAACTTACTGGCATTCAGCCATCATAATCTCACCCTACACTGGGATTACAATCTTCAGGCAAAGATTTTTTTTGAACGATCAGAAGTCGGCAAGGCTGTGAACGAGCTGGCTGCGAGTCCAGCTCAGAGACATTCAGATGAGATTTGTTTTCTGTTAAATGTTAAGCTGAGGTAAATGTTTCCCTTCGCTTCTCCGCTCATGAGCGCACTCAGAATGAGCGGGACGGAGAACCAATAAGGAAACTGTCCTGCAGTCGCCGGGGAGGTTTTATTGTCTCTAGTGGCCTTTATTTGATAGTTAATTGGCATGAAAGTGGATAATGAGAGAAGGAGAAGACCTGGGGCAAAAGGTCGCCAGGCCGGGAATCGAACCTGCAACAGCCGAGTCGAGAACCAAGGCCTCCATATGTGGGTTGTGCTCAACTCCTGCGCCAACACAGCACATCCCCTCCTCAGTAGCTTTAGCAAGAATTCAATTTACATGACGTATCCTCAATGCAAATGACCAGTAGGACCAGTAGGACCAGTAGGACCAGTAGGACCGGGTCGGATGGAGCCAGGCTGGGAGGAATGGGCAGTGACCCTTGCACTGCGGGGTCCACACTGCAGTGCAAAAATGGTCAAGTCTTTTCTTTGCCTACATTATTGAATATTAATTATGATGTTAATCACGTCTATTGCGATATGTATTGTTCTATCGTCCAGCCCTATTCTGAAGTATGGATTATGAATTATTTGAATAAATAAATGAATTAATAACAAGCTCTGTTATGACATAAACTTTTATGTTCCAGATTCATAAAAAGCTTGAAAGACGAGAGCAAACTTACAAAAAAGCTGCTTCATTTGAACATTTCTGACGACTTTTTCTAGTTTATCTACTTTTCAACCAACACATCGACAGTTCAGCCCATTTCTTTCCTGCACAATAATCATCTCACAAGCATCAGCAGAAGCTTAAATTCCTCTCCAGTCAGAGGAGATGCTGTGTTTTGCTGCGTTCATTTATGTATTTTTCTGACTCAGCTCTGGTTCTGTGTGCCAGATTCCCATCATGCCACTTTCCTGGGACAATCAGGGTGTTTATATCCCTGCATGAAGGTTGGAAGGAGCTTCAGTTTGCCTCTCGGACAGCTGCTGCGTTTGACTCCAACATCCCAACCGGCCAAAATGTGTCTTTTTGGCCAAGCTGTGATTTTTTTAAATAGAGGTTTTCTTAACCGACTGGACGTTCAGAGCCTGGTTTTACGTTTCTGGTTTGTTCCTAGTTCCTGGCAGAGAAACTTGCAGACCCCTCTGTAAGAGTTCTGCATCGAAAGTGTTACTAAGTGAATTTGTGGTTGGGTTTGGGCATCGCTGTAATGAAGGGTCAGTGCTGTGTTTGTGTTTCCGTCGGTCAGTTGGCCGCGGAGCCGCTTGGCTGAAGCAGCTGCAGGCGACTCTGTGCTTTGTGTCGTCCACCAACACAGCTGGTTCCACAGCCAGCGGCTGAATCAGCCTTACTGAATCATTTCAGTAAGGCTGTATAATTATATCGATTCTACGATATTTATTGATTTTTCCACCCTTGAAAAGAATCAATTTTTCATCCGCGAGCATCGATACATTAAACCATAGGAATCCATAGGCTTATATTGTGTTTTAACATGTCTGGTTTGTGACAGCGTATCAACTTGAGCTTAAAGTGCACATTATAAACTACACACCAGTTTTTAAATTGTGATAATAGGCCAAGTATTTATGCTAAAATAAGTAAACAATATTTTCCTGAAAGTCAGAGAAATGTTAAGAACCGTCTTTTCCAGTTATGTGAGAGGGAATTAGCTTCCAAACTTAAAACTTGAACCATTAGATTCTTATTAGCAACTAACAAAAAACATCAGAGACTGAAAGTATGATGAGATCCTGGCAGGTTGAGAGGCAGCGACTCAGAGATCCAAGCAGGGGAACGTTTGGATGCGACTGAAAAACCTCAGCGCAAAAACCTTTTAGCAAAATGGTTTATTTAAATTGGTGTGTATCCATTAAGTAAATTGTAATGTTAATGTGAGTCAATTAATGTCTCATTAATGGACTGAAACAAGCGAGCCACACAGACTGACACTCACCCATCGCTCTGCTGGCCCGCATCAGAACCTCCCCCACCTTCAGCCGGGTCTCCAGGGAGCGCTCCTGCTTGGACGAAGGGAGCGACGGGCCGCGCTGGAAATCCTGGAGGAGCCTCTCCAGGATCTGACCCGGGTAGGAATCAGCCAGAACGGCCAGACCTGAAAGCAGATCGGACTCAGTCTCTGCTACTGTGAGCTGAAAGGAAGCTGGAGGTGATATAAAGCTAACAGCTGGTTGAAGTAACCTTAAAATGACTCCATATACAGAGAGTTATAAAAACAAACATGAGAGCGGAGGCGTCACCTTGGATGGCCGACAGGTAGACGAACGAGTCTTCATGCTCCAGGTTCTCCAGGAAGAGCTGGACAGGACACGGAGAGTCGGGGAATTATGGAGATCCAGACCGAGGATCAGCCAGTCAACAAACATCAGAGAGAATAAAACAGATGATTGATCCGAGGAGAACCGAACTGGAGAGGAAAATCAATACCGGGGGTTTCTGCAGCATCAGCAGGGGCCTGGAGCTAAAGGGAATCCCTAAATAAGGGGCATCTTTTCCTTAACAAGCCCCCAGGAGGGCAGCGGCGTCCCACTGAGGAAGACTGCCTCATGCATTATGAATGTCCCAGGAGACGAGGATGAAACGGGAAACCCGCTGATACTCGAGTTCGGATCACAAGGCAAACAAGAACTCTTGAAACTAGGAATTACAACCTGGAAAATTTCTGGATTTGAATCTGGAACTCAACAAAGGTTCGTTATCGTTACTTTTAACATTCATATTTTAAAAATAATGTTTTATTGTCTCAAATTAAATATTTCAGTTTTACAGATTTTCATATTCAGAAAGTCATTTTGTTTCAAACGTAAATGATATTTTTTATCTTGAAAACGTTAAATATTAACTGGCTGTGATTTGGTGGGAGGAAAAGTCACAGTTTTTATCGGAACGTTCTTCTCTGTGTTTTTGAATCTCCTCTCTCACCTGTTGTCACTACACTGTTAGCCGCAGTACAGAACCGCGATATCCTGATCCCCCTCCAGAGGAGAGAGGCTCACAGGTCAAAATGCGATTGATCTGCATGATGTAACATTAATGCGTTAAAGACTTTATGCTCGTTTGTGTTCGTCAGTCTCTACGAACCGTGAGGACCTTCTCCTGAGCCTGGACGGCCTCTGGGTGTCTGCGCTGCACCATCCGGGTCACAGCCCTCAGGGCGACCGCTCGGGTGGGCACGTCCGGGTCGCATGCCTCCAGCAGCCAATCAGAGAGCGGTTTGTCACTTGGATCACCGGATCCAGATGGCGGACCGGGACGCCTGCTGGCTGGCGCCTGCTGGTTTCTTCCTTCGCTCTTCGCTTTGCTGTTCTTTGTCGTGTCGTCGGGGTTGCCACGGCAACGAGCAGCCTCAGCGAGGTCTTCGGGTCGGTAGGCGCCGCGAGTGGCGATGGCGGCGCCGAGGTTGGACGCCAGCTCCTGGACGACGACGTCGGGATGCTGCTGGGCCAGCGCCTCCAGCGGCCGGAGCAACTTCGACATGCAGGAATAATCCTGAGCGCTGATCTGACGCGGCGAAGTTAGAAAAAAAACAGGAGATTAATCAACTGCTGATAAGAAATGCATGTTATTGATTAATGATCTAAAGTTGATCAATCTTAAATATAAAGTTGTAAGCGGCTATTTTCTTAAAACCTGAGTCTTCTGAGGGTTGGCAATCAAATAGCAACTGTTTTTCAGTTGGTTTTAATTTCCCATACAATTAGTTGATTTCTTGCAATAAGAGTAAAAAACATCATACAGTCGCCGGTTGTGAAACTAGTAACAAACGTGACATATTTTTTCAAGCGTCATCATCAAAACACATCAAATACCATAATTATAATATTAATAATAAATACATATCATTCTATCAGCTGCATTCAATACTGATGCTGTGACATCTCCGCCATCTTTGTTTTTGGTTCAAACAAAGATGGCGTTAAGGACGACCAGCGGTGCCCTCTGCTGGTTGGTGGCCAAACTACAACACTGAAATAAGATCTAAGCAGCTGCTATTAGTTCATCAATTGGAGCTAATTTTACCGTTTCTTGGTAATTAATCATAAGTTGATTAATTCCATGAGCGGTTTGAGGGATTTGTACCTGAGGCGCGGACAGGAGCGTCGCCACCAGGCCCATCCCCATGCTCAGCGTCTGGCTCTCCACTGGGTTCCCAACACCTGGCGCCGAGGTCCCGTCCAGCCCGACGCAGGCCCTCTGGAGCAGGGACACCATGAAGTCCACAACCTGCAACCAGAACAGATACATCTTGGCAAAAGTTCTGCCCATACATCTCTTTTCTCCATCCATCTCTTTTCTCCATCCATCTCTTTTCTCCATCCATCCATCCTCATTTTTTCCCTTCCTCGCTCTCCATCCATCCTTCATCCTCTGACCTGTGAGGTTTTCCTCAGCAGCTGCTCCTGCTCCAGACTCTCCACCATCACAGCCAGCGCCTGGAGCAGAGTTAGCTTCTCTGCTTGCCTCTCAGCTCCACCCAGCACCTGCTGCTCCACCTCCAGAAGCGTCATGGCCGCCACATCCACCTCCTCTTCGTCCTTCAGCTCTTCATCTAGAGCAACCGCCCAACCAGTCAGCTCCTGCAACAAACGCCATGTCAACAAAACATTTCTGCATAACGGAAATGACCAAAGGAAACGCTTCAGTTTTTACTGATCACATCTTAAAGAGCGAGGCGAGTCTTTATATTTCCAAACAGAACTGAAAAAACCCCAACGGACCCGGCTTGGACTGTTTCTCCTTCTCTGAAGAAAAAATGCTTCAGTTTTTCCTGGCTGCTTACAAATGCCCGAGATTCGTCAAGACTCTGAGATTAACGTCATTTTTTTTGGAGATTAAAGTCAAGATTCTGTGGGGAAAATTATTTTTGAGGAAAAAGTCAAGATTGAAGAAAAAAAGTCATATTTATGAGACTAAAGTCATATTTCTTAGATTAAAGTGATATTTCTGAGATTATGGACAAAATTCTGAGGTTAAATTTCATCGGCCTTAGTCCTTTGCTGTATGCTGGAGAGTTTCTTCTCTCTGTTTTTACTCTGCGGTCCTTTTGGTACCTGCAGCAGGTTCAGGAAGAAATCCCCGGGCAGGTCGGAGTCGCTGAGTTGGGCCAGCAGCTGCACCAGACACTCCAGTCTCCACTGCTCCCCGGACAGCGTCTCGTACAGCTCCTCATCCTCGTCGCTACGGTCACAGCAGAAAGTTACGCCGAAAGCTAGAGACCGCTCAGATGACTACAACTCAGCTCTGCGTCGCCACCTGCAGGCCTGTCTGCAGACGAGCCTGACGCCGCCGCCGCTGCCCGCCGTAAAGTGGAACGCCGCCGCCACCTCGTTCCTGCGCTCCCTCAGGCCAGAGAGTTGCCTGAGCAACAGGAGAGACGCAGACGTCTCTGAATGCTTCAGGAACCAGAGCAGGATCTCCTGACAGGGGGCGCTGTGGCGCACAGAGAAGACATACGATTCATTTCTACGTTCGCTGCGGAGACGCAGCAGAGAAGATTTCCAGTTAAAACTCACCGCAGATGGGAGACGCTCTGCTTGGTGAAGCAGAAAAGCGTGAAGATGACGGGAAGAACGTCCTGAAGTGGCGCGAGGAGCGTCGGAGACGGACTGTTTCCAACGACCCAGATCTGACCCACAAAAAAAAAATGTCAACAATGTCACCCTGAAGCATCAATAATCACATCGAACACTGTATATAGATGAGATACTTTATTTTTCCCTTTGGCATTTTCCAACTACCACAAAGGACTCCTCTGTCCTTTCTACAAAAAAAACAAAACATATTTTATTGTTTACATTTGGAAATGTTGCCCATCCGCACAATGCTAGAGGGCAAAAATAGACTTTTCTTTTACTTGCTATGGGTAGCTGTGCTGCTGCGGTAGATCAGTTAACAAAATGAAACCTGAAGATGTAGGTGTTATTAATTTAGTGCAGTGTGGAAAAAGAAAAACGCAGAAAAACTGTTGAACAATAACTCAAAACCACTCGTGGTATTCTTTTCTCTTTTTTCTCTCCCTGTGTCAACACTACATGCAGACCAACTAACTCACAACAGCTCTACTAGCGTATCATAATTTAACACCGAAAATCACGCAAAACATTTCCCACGCAGCATTACATTTTCAGACTTAGGATTAATTGTGCAATTATTAGTAAGTGATCGCGGCAGCTGATTAGCTGATTTTAACTCCTGCTCTGCTGATGATATGTGCCGGAGTTGGTGTGAAAACTAATTTTTTAAAACATAAAAAGACTTTTTTCAGACTGTTGCACCTTGTAGACATCCTCCAAACAGCGAGTGAGATCCGACTCCTCCACAGCGACGTGCGGATGCTCTTCACCTGCAAGACAAACACAAGAGACGGTGATGAAGGCGACGGCTCCATGCAAGAGTCAAGATGGAATAAACTAGAATATAACTGAAAACCCCATTTATCACTAAGAAAAACGCATTACGCATATTAATCACCAACATCCTTTATTTCTGTTTATTATTGTGATTTTCCACTTAGACTTAATGAAAACGTGACATTTGATATCAAATCAGTAAAAATATTTTTTAAAAGACAGAAGCATCACCAGAAGGTTCTCACCCTCAATATTTAAAAACACTAAAATATGATTTTTAGTTTTTGTACGCTGGCGGTTCGCTTGAGCCTGCAGGAGGGAGTCATCCTGGCAACCAGTCTCAGTTGTTACGTTGTTTACTTGTTTCGCCTTTATTTCTTTAAGGCCATCATTAAATAGGATCCAAACTTTTCCACAACGCTAACAGCAAGTAGGTGATGTTTGTTGGATTTTTTTAGCTACATTGAATGGACCCCTCTGAATATTTAGACGTTTTAAACTACCAATTCTTCGTTACCGTATTTGAACATCAGGCCAGATTGAGGACGTGTTACTGACCGGAAGCCGTGATGCATTGGTGTAGCGGGGCTAGCAGTGAGGCCAGCAGGTACTGCTGAGCGAAGGTGGGCCTTTCCTGGACCATGGAGAGCGCCGCCCTGGTGGCGACTCGCTGGAACTGCTGAGCTGTCAGTTTGTCTCGGAAATGCAGGAGGTCAAGGATCTGAAAAGCATCGATTCGTTTTAGCCACAAATATTTATAAACAATATTAAAAAGGTTGCAAAGGACAAACTGAGACAAATAAAGGTTACACAGGTTTGCAGTACAATAAACAGAATAAACAGTACTGGTGGAATGAAAAGCTTTGAGGGATGTGTCTTGCTAACCGCTGCAGGATGGTCAGCAAGGAAATTGGATGGATATTTCTGAGAAGGAGTAGCTGCTAGCTATAGTAGCTAATGAACGAATTAAGGAAGGTTTCCAGTGCAGTCTGCGTTCCATGCAAGTCTGCGTTCCTGCTGACCAGCTGATCCAAACCGCAGGCAGGTATGAGGGATGGGGTAAGTTATAATGAGGTTCAGGTGCAGCAGTCTACCTGCACCAACAGCTGGAGGAAAAGGATCTGATCAGCAGAAACCCTGAGTCTGTTCCTGCTCAGATGGACGACCTGCTGCCTGCGTCACCCTGCAGAGGAAACCGTGATGCTGACCTGAGGACAGACCAGCCTGAAGTATCCGTCTGCTGAGGCCGACTGCTGAGGGCAGGCCGCCAGGATCCGCGCCACTGCGTCACATTTCCTCCAGTCCGAGTCGCCCCCTGCAGGGGGAAAATGGAAGTTCAACCAGGAGAACTAATGAGCGGTTTACAGAAGCAGCATTCATCATTCTCATTTAATTCCTTTAATTCATTTGCAACTTTTCCCTAATATTTAAAGTCATTGTGGCATTAAGCATGCCAAACATTTAAGAGTTCCAGCTTGTATCCAATATTATTGATCTAATGTAGCTATTTAATATATCTATCTTTCTACATATATTTAAATGAATTTGACTAAATAAAAATTATGCATTTATGACAAGTACAAACATACATATAGCTAAGTAATAATTTTTTATTTATGATATGTATATTTTTAAATATAGGGTATATATTTTCTTCTTTATAAATGTTTGCCTTTAGTAATTATATATATATATATATATATATATATATATATATATATATATATATATATATATATATATATATATATATATATATATATATCCTTGGTTATTATATGTAGAATTTTCCCTTTAGTTATTTTATTTTTAGTTTTCCTTTAGTTATTAAATATATATTTCTTGTCATTCTCATCCACCCTCTGGGCCCCCCAATGGTAAGAGTCTAGCTCCGCCACTGGAGGAGAACCTGCTGGATTATTTGCACATTATCTGTACATAATCTCTCCTCCTGTTGCTCCCCCTCCTCACCCGTTCCTCCCTCCAGGACGGCTCTGACGACCGCCTGCACGCCGTTGGGCTGCATCAGACGCTCAGACAGCAGCTGACCGCAGAGGCGCCTCAGCCAGGCCGGCGCTGATCCCAGAGCAGCTCTGGAGCTCCCAGCTGGACCTGACTGGAAGCAAACAGAGGAGAGGGATGTGAATCCAAAACCAGCATGTAGGAGCATAATGATCCATGGAACCAACACAAGTTTCATCAAAGCTCAATGACCAGGAAAACAAGAACTACCTTGAAAAACTGGAGAATAAAACATGTTTTCTTGCGAGTTTTGCTTTCTTTTTTATGATTATCACTGATGCTATTATTATGTTTTATTCTTATTTAAATGGAAGCTCATTTCCTGCACTACAATAATGCTTTGGACAAAAAAAGGTCAAAAACAACCACAGTTTGAGGAGTTTGTTGGTGAAATATAAGTTTTCAACTTATTTTTACTGCCATCATGTGGACAAAATAGATAATTGCAGTCATAAGTTCAATATATGTCAGGATTTTTCAAACCAGCAGAAAAAATTTAATGGAAAGTTTCAAAATCTGATGAAGAATTTTCAGGTATGATATATATATATATATATTTAAATTAGTGGGTTAATTGTTGCAGCCCCAATATATAATCAACATGTGATGGACGATTCTGTTGTCTGCACAACAAAAACAACATTTGGGTCAGAACGGGAAGCGGCACCTGTTTGGGTCCACCTTGCAGGACCAGCAGCTCCTTGACGACGATCGGCTGGTAAACTTTTCCAACCAGATTCCTGAGCGCCTCTTTGCACGACCGACACTCCTCTGTGCTGAGTGGCTGCATCAGGGCAGAAAAACAGAAACTAAAGCAGCAGGACTGAAACGCTCTGGATTTGGATTTATCACAACGAGAATTATGATGCATGTCTCACATCAATGATTTACAGGGGGAACATCATGTAAAATCAACTTTTTGGAGCTTTGCATCGTGTTATAATGTCATTCCCTCATGAAAAACATGTTTTGTTCTGATTCTTTCATGCACGCTTGATAAAAATCCTTTGAATCTCCATGGCAACCGTTCAGCTGTGCAAAATGCCTGGTTGGACGTAGCTCCGCCTCCAAGACACAGGTCCTCCTCAGAGCTAAACGGTGAGCTAACACGATTAGCAACGCCTGGTGGAACTACGCTCATTATAGAAACTACTACTCAGTAAAACGATGGTAAAAATGTTAAAGGGTTAATGGAGGAGAGATATGATCATTTTCTGAAGGCAGCATTTCAGGAAGAGTAGGAGCTTCTTAAAGAGACAGAGGTCCAATATTAAATCAGGATGTAAACTTTCTTGTAAACAAACTTTTTATAACAATTGAAGGTTATAGTTATTTGACTGTGGCATAAAATGCCATGATGTGTCTGGAAAACACATAATACCGTCCTTTTAGAAGCTGGATAAAATGCAACATGACTGTTAAGACTGCAGATCGGACAACTATCAGATCTGATTCAGTTACACATTTGGAAGTGGCAGAGATCAGGGTTTTTTTTTTCTTTGTGAAAAAGCCAGATGAAGGTGGCATTTGGTTAAAAAAAAAGTAGATTTGGGTTGCAGCAGCATGTAGAAGGTAAACCCACCCTGTGGTCCTCTCGGTGCGGCTCGTAGCCCAGCTGGCACAGTGCTGCCATCACGTCCCCCAGATGCCTGCTGAACACCAGGGTGGCAAGAGTCGCCAGCTCAGCCACCTGCAGCAGGACTCTGGTTGTGGTGAGCAGATGGCGACCCGCTGGGGGCGACGCCTCCCTCCGGATCAGCTTTTCCACCACAACACCGAATGCAGACCTAATTAAACAATCATGAAGTTTAGAACAATTAATCTGAGGGCAAGAGAACTTCTGACTCAACTAATTTGGCTCACATGACAAAATGTTTGGGTTTCAAATCTGGCTCAAACTCCAATTCAGAAGGTGTAAAATTTCTGATCACTTCGATTTATTGGTGGACGTTAAAAAAACTGTCAGGATGCTTGGAAATGTTACTTTTTCTATTGTTATTTCATGGGGAATTTTTATTTAAATCGCAATTTTTAATAATATTTTAAAAAATGAATAAAATTGTAATTTAATTAATGGAATTCAATACTTATTTAATTTAGTAAATATCTGTAAATCTGAAAATATAATTAAATGCAACTGCTGTTTTTTATTATATAAATTCCTTATTTTTTATTTGTGAAAATGTTATTGTGCTCCAGTTTTTTGTTTTGTTTTGAAACAAACTTCTTGTTTCAAATGGTGATGTTTTCCAGAACAATATTTGTGTTTGAATCCTGTGCAATGCTGTCACAGGCATACAATTACTGAAATTTTTTTTTTTCATTGTTAGTATCACAAAATATCAGGATAAGACTCCAAGTCCACATCACGCACACCTAAAAGCTATTGTCCAAACGCCAGTAAAGTCAAAGAAGAAGAAGAAAGCCGACCGACCTGCGGCCCAGTGGGACACCGACCCCGGCGCTCAGGTACGGACAGATGCCCAGAGAAACCACAAACTGTAGCGCGGCACCCAGCGTCTTCTGCTGGGAGACGCTGAGGACGTCGGGCGGAAGCGGCGGCGCCATTTCCGCTGTGCGGAGGCTTCCTGAAGGAGGCGGGGCCTCCTGAAAGCGTTTCAGCTCCTCAGTCAGGTGTCGGGTTAAGGCGAGGAGGAGCAGGAGACACTCTTGGACAAAGCTCCAGGTGACATCATCTGTCTCTGAGCTGTACCAGTCAGCTTCGCCCTTTGTCTCGTCCCTGAGCCGCGCCGCTCGCTGCAGGCTGCCGTCGCTCAGAAGCCGCTCCAGAAGGACGGACCTGTTGGCCCCCAACGCGGCATGGAGGGCCTCCTGCTGGGACGGCTGCGCAGACGCTTCTGCAGCCGCAAACGCAGAAGATCAGCTACTGATGTATTTAAATGTGCTGTACTACTGGAAAGTTATTAAACAAATCTGTAAGTCAGTATATTTAAGTCTCTGTTTAAAAACAAAAAGAAACTTTTTAAGTCAAATCAGCGCTGTTTTTCTGTATTTTCAAAGGTGACTTATTTCCCCCCCCGTTACTAGCAGAATAAAGACATAATTTCATCAGAACATCTTAAAATTATGAGAATTTCCAGGAAAACGACATGTTATCAAATGCATCATGAGGAAATATACAATAAATAAATTGATAAATACTCCAGTCATTAATCAAAGGCAGCTCTCAACATATGGGGTTCCAGCCTCTATTTAAAGGAACTCAGTCTTTCGGCAGTTTTGGTGTTTTCTGGAAGTTTGTTCTAGATTAGAGGAGGATTAGAGGACTGAATGCTGCTTCTCCATATTTGGTTCTGGTTCTGTGGATGCAGAGTAGTCCAGAATAAGAATAAAAACTCAAGTCACTTTGAAACAGTTTTCAACTAATATAATGACAATGGCGTAAGAATCCAAGTATGCCCTCTCAAAGATCAATACGCTGTGATTTCTAATGAAGTCTAGAACTGGCATATATTATGCAAAATAAATAAAACTATAAATAAATTGGGTTACGGAGTCTCTGCAAACCAAATTATTCTTCAAAAATATTATTCATTAGATTCAGAGAAAGAAACAGGCAAAACTATAACGTAGGACTTTTATAAACAAAAACTACAAACTAACAAAATGTACGACAGAATGGACACGAACCGCGTGATAAACCGGCTGAAACTCACCGCCCAGAGGTTGGGTCAGGATATTCATGGCGTTCAGGATCTCGGAGGTCATCTCGGACTCCTGGCTTTCATCACCGCTCCGACAACAACACGCAACGGTTTTTTATTTCTGGTATAAATCCCGCAACACCAAGCTACACGCTGCTTCGGCTAAAAACATTTACTGAACGGATGCTTGCGTTTGACGTCATCACGCAGCGCCGATCTGAACGGGAAATGATTGGCTGACACTGCGGTGCCTTTACTGGACAGCTGGAAATGTCCAAAATGTTTTTGGTTCAATTTAACGTGGATATCAGAGCCTCCATTTAACTGTCTACAGTGAACCTGGTATGAATATTGTGTTCAGAAATGGCTATATTTCCTCCATTTTTTAAATGTATTTATTGTTTTTAGAAAGCTTTTACTGTTGCCTTTATGGTCCAATCCTCACATAACAGAAGAATCTGTAGTGTGAACAGGTGTATTAGAAATGAGGCCCACTCGCCACTTTAAATTCAAATAAGCTGCTGCTGGTTACATCCAACTTCTAATTCCCTTTCACAAGATGGGCAATTATACAACCATACTGCTTTGGAAAGCAGAGCCTAAAACACCTTATGAATAGAATAGAATAGAATAGAATAGAATAGAATAGAATAGCATTTATTGTCATTGAACAGGATTCAACGAAATTTCTATTGCAACTCCCGTGCAAAAAGTCAAAAAATACAATATTAAATAAACAAACACACAATAATAATATATATACAACTAAAATTAACTAAAGGCACTCAACCACACCAAAGAAGAAGCAGCAGGTCCAATTATGGTAAAGTGCAGATGATGTGACAGTGCAAGTGCAGAACAATATGGCTGTGTGTGGGGTGGGTGGGGGGGGGTGTATGTGAGTTTATGATATGTGTGGGAGGGGGCGGCAGGGAGTAATGGCTCTGACGGCTGTGGGGAAGAAACTGTTTCTCAGTCTGTTTGTTGTAGTCCGTATATTCCTGTACCGCTTGCCTGATGGCAGCGGCACAAACAGTCTGTGGCCCGGGTGGCTGGATTGGTGGCTGTGTTCTTAGATTGGAAACAGTTGAGATGCATGGAAGGAAGTATATAAATGATGTGAATTTTGCATGATGGGCCACGTTTAATTTATCAACCATTAAACAATCTACAGGAGTTCTGATCTTAGGAACTCCTTTCCATGTAATGGTAATCTGAAATACTGTGCCAGTAAAACTAAGAAAGTGTTATCCAGGGGGTGGACTCTCACCAAAAGTGACATTTTGCTCACGATGTCTGCGTCAGACTGGTACAGCAGAGACCCACATTTGAATCATACTGAAAGCACAACCTGTGACATCTTAACACCAGTGTGCTGCATACTTGCGGTCCAACATTGTGCAGAAGGAAGACCCAGTGTGCAAATGCATTGTTTTTGACATATCTAGGATCACTTAACTCGTCACAAAACAAGTTGCTATGGGGAGCAATGTTTGCAACCGTTTGCCACATTGTCTTTCCTGTTGAGCAGAGACATTTGCTGAGTTGTGACTAGACTATAAATCAGACCAAGGGGCCCTCCCTAGTTGCCTGAGGGTTTTTTTTCTGAGGATGGGTAGATATTTGTTTATATTTGTCTTTTTAAGAGATCTTAAAAAGACAAAACATAAGGTAAAAATAAGATACAGTACTTTTTTAACCTTATTTTTGCTGAGGTAAAAAATAAAAAGACAGTTCCGTCTTCTTTATCTTTTCCATCAGTAATTGTAACATCCGCTTGATGATCATGTTACTTATGTTATCAGCGTACACTGACGCACTAATTTTAATGTAGCTGGAAAAAAACCACACAATTTTAACATATTTCTTCCAAATTGCTTTGTTTCTATTAAGTTCATTTATTTGCTTAATTTCATAGAATTTGTGCAACGGTAAGGTCAAAACAGCTACTGGGTTTCTTTAAAACTGTTAGAAATTATTTAAAAAAATAGACTGAATTTAATGGACTAACTACGATCCACTGGAACAGATTTGTGACTGAACTGAACTTTGTAAAGATTACATTATAAATTGGTGTTTGACAAATAAAAGGAGCCAATTTAGACCAAACATTTAACTGTAAATGCATTAAAACTGTGAAATGCATTAAAATAATGGCTCAGTTGGTGTCAAACTTTCTGAGTTGCTCAAAATGTGAAGTTTCTGCTGGAAAGTGCAGAGGAGCTTCAAATAAGGGTGAATTTTCTGATTTTTTGTAAAGAAGAATATATAAAAATAAGACTTATAATAAAAAAATATGACAAATAGTACATGTGCTACAATGCTTTTGCAGTGGCACCATTTATTAAAAATGAGAAGTTATTTAAAATGTTGCAGAAAACAAACAGGGCAGCTGATGTTTGAGGGGGAAGGCTGCATTTATTCTGGATTTTGAACATACATAAAACCATATGTGCACTGTAAGCAAAAATGTGAATATTTACAAGACAAAAAAAAATCAATATACACATAAGAATTATAATACAAGGGGGGGAAATCCTTCAGTAACCCTTACAACAACATAACATTCTTTAAACACAGGATTTTAGAATTTAGCAAAAACCAGAGGGATGTTAGATCTGCAAACTGCAGCCACATTCTGAGTTTTAAGGAGATAAACATGAAACGTTTATCTGCTCGCTCAGCATTTTTCTTCAGTGCATTTCACTTTAGTTCCAAATGTAACTCAGAACTGAAAACAATAAGAAAACCTCATGTTCGAGGTGTAATCAGAAGATAAATATTGTAGTGTTTGTTTCCACTGCTTCCACACCAAGGTTCATAACTCACCGAACTGAACGCTCCTCCAACTCTGATGGGTTTTCTGTTTTGTAAAAGATCATCAAGGCAGTAAATTCTAGTTTGTTGTGGGAATTTTTAAGCTGAGGATCCTCAGTCAACTGTTAACAAACCTGGGTTAGGCTGTTACACATTCTAACAACTCCGACGTATTCTGAAGGAAAATATGGACGTTTTTCACAAAGTAACACCCTCCCCATTCAACCATGTTGCTACAGCTGCAGTTTGCAGCTTGTGCCACTAGATGTCACTACAACCTGCATTCCTCAGAGTACATTTCTCTGAAAACGGCTTTACGCCGCCTGCTTCTATATGCTTCTAAACAAACTTTAATACTTTTATTCACTGAACTGATTTTTACATAATCCATGTATGTTTTCTGCAAAACTGTCCCAGAGCTCATCAACCAGCTAGAAAAAACGTTTTACTGGATTAAAATGGTAAAAATAAACAAGTTATTTCCTTCCCAACCAACTTTCTGCTGAACCAAAGAAACTTAACAATTTAACCAGCATTTCAGGAAGCCCATGTCCATTTATGTAAGGTGCTATAAAAACTGAGTTCGATTGACATCAACCCGACTGATCATGAATCCAGGTTTAAACATAAATTTGTAGACTTTCAAATTGAAAGTTGGAGTTTATAAATGCAACTTGGAACTGTGTGTGTAACTCCTAACTGATGGCCGCTTGAAAATATCGTAAATAGTGTTTATGAATGTAGCCTGACGCTGATCCACTGATTTGCATACAAACATTATCTCACTGCAACACAATCGCCCCAAACATTCAAAATGGAGGATCAAACTAACGCAGGTTGATTCAAGTTTAGCTCCAGAACCAGTGTGGTGGTAAAAATATTTACTATTCATTTTGTTGTGACAAAAAAATTACTTTGCATCTTTCTGCATGTTGTTGGACATTGCCATCGCCACCTAGTGGTCAGATTTGACCATTTCAGGAAAAAGTCGCTGCGTGAAGTAGCCGCATTTCTGTGCTTCGATTGTAAAATGGAGGGAAAGTGAGGAGGGCGACCAGTTGACTGAAAGTACGACTTCAACAGTAAATACTTATGAACAAAGTTAACCCTCTTCAACATGAGATTCTCTGTATCTTGTTAAACTTTCCAACCTTCAGAGGTGAAAGTTGAAAATCTCGATCGCGAGCAGAAATGTTATTCCCAGACCAACAGAATTTTTCTCGATGAAATACAGAAATTGTGTTCTGCAGACAGCGGTGCTGCTCACCTCGATGGACCAGAAAGCAAAAAATTAAAAATGGAAAAAAATAAAAAGATCCCAGAAAGTATTCATTGCAGATAGCAGCTAGTTTAATAAACAGTTTCTGTGTCCTCCGACCAGGAGGAGAAGAAGATGGTGGGCGGGCGGCGGTTCACCCCAGCAGCAGACCCGACAGCGCGTTCAGGTCTCTCATGTACGGGTTGTCGCTGAGGATCCGGTCGATCCGCTGCTTCTGGTCAGGAAAGATATCGTACAGCTTCCTCTTCAGCTCCGACGTCTCCCCCGGCGACCGCTGCGGCGGCGGGGCGGGCGACGGCGAGGGAGAGCGCCGCGGCGGGTGCCACTCGGGCGGCCCGGAGTGCGGCCAGTGTGAGGTGTGGTGGGCTGTCAGGGAGGCGGGGTTACGCAGAGTCTGGACATTAACGGGCGGCTGCTGCTGGGACGAGGCCCGGAAATCCGGAGGGTGGAACAGCGGCGGGGAAACTCTCCTGAGTGAGAAGAAGAAGAAACAGGCTGCAGATAAATCCCAAACAACCAGAGTCACAGATACACATCGGATGTCTCACCTGTTGTCTTTCCGCAGGAAGTCGTCCAGGTGGGGACCGTTTTTTCCAAGCGGATCGTCAGGAATCATGAAGTGATCTTCAACGAAGGTAAACTGAAGAAGTCTGTCAGGAAACACAAAGTGCAGCGTTCACACAAATGGAACAGGATTTGTTTTAAAAATTTAGTATTGAAAAACTAGCACCTGTCCTGGCTCGGACAGGTGTGTTTTAGCATAAAATGCCCCCAGAAAACTCGCTTTGAAATGGAAAATGGAAAAACATTCAATATTAGATTTCAGGAAAACCTCGTCACATAAATTTGACATTAGAATATAATATAAAAGGAACGAAGAATAAAATATGGTGCTCATCTTGATGTAATACACAAACCAACCAGTAGGTGGTGAGAAAATCACACATAAAATAAGATTTCAAAGTGTCTGCAGCTGAGTTAGCATTTAAACTTTGAATAAATAACAGCTGTTAACACCCACATATTTCAGTAAAATAGCAAAAAAAAAAAAAAAAAGTATTTCTATTTACATTG